AATAACCTCCAAAATATCTTTAATATTTCATGTAAAATACCAGAGTAGATCATTTGTTTTGTATAAATAAAAAGTTAGACTCCCCCAGTCTGGTGGCTCAGTTGGTTGAAACATAGTCCCCTACACCAAAAGGGTTGCAGTCCGATCTCTGTTCAGGGTGTGTATAGGAGGCAAATGATTCATGTTCCCCCCCCCACCACCACCACCAATATCCTTGGGTGAGGATTAGAACAAAGTTAGACTCAGGCCAATATGCCAAAGGAATAGTAATGAACTTTAACACATGTACTGACACTGTGTGAGAAGGGACTGATCTGTCCTGCTCAAAAAAACATAGCTACAACTCTTACACGTGCTTGATGGGGGTGTAAATGGTCTTATCATTTTTGGAAAACGATTTGGCAGTTTCTAATATTTCTAAATATTTTACCCAAGAGTAATACAAGCTGTATGTACACACTAAGCAGCTTTACGCATAATAATCCCAAACTAGAAACAACACAAATGTCCAATAACAGGATATTTGTGGAATATTCACTAATCGGAAGGCTCCTCAGCATTTAAAAGGAACCAAACTACACAGCAAATGGATGTGTCTCAAAAAAAAAAAAAAAGCATCGGAGCAAATGAAGTACAAAATACTACTTGCTTTATGGTTTTATTTGCATGAGATTCAAGAACAGGCAATACCACTCTATGGTGATCAGAAGAGTGGCTGCCTCTGGCCTGAGGATGGAAGGATTGTCTGGAAAACGGTACGATTGAATTTTCCGGGGTGCTGGGAATGTTCTAATTCTTGATTAGAGTGGTGATTACAAAGGTATACATAGTTATGAAAAATTCTTGAAACTACACTTAAGATATATGATGAGCCTTTTATTAAATGTAATGTGGACCTCGATTGAAAAGTGTATGTATGTATACCCGTATAAATGTAAATACACATATACTTCAATTTCTAATCTAACTAAAGGGTATATTATCATGAGCCTCGGCCCAATGAATTTCACACTTTCTCCCTGCCTTTGAAATACGTGGACTTCATGCTTTCAAAGGATAGATTCAGTCTTCGGGGCGATGCTACAAGCTGGAACCTGATTAATTACTTCCCTCTACGTTGTCCATTTCCCATCACTGACACAGAATGCCCCATGTGGTCACTCCCGCTGGACGCCAGAGAAAGTTGGGGAGACAGGTTCAACTTGGAGGGGAATTCCTCTCCCAGCACACACCCTCCAGTGCCAGGATCACCGCCTGCGGGCGTGAATCAGCCGCCCCGCCGGGCTCCCCACAGGCACGCCCCGCCCCGTCCGGGGTCGGGAAGACATTCACCCCTACATAAAGCCCACACCCACCGCCCGGCACACAGGCCTCTGAGCGGCACGCTGCGCGCCCTTCTCCTGCCGGGTACTCTGGGGATCCTCCTCCCGCGGGCTCCACGAACCTGGACACCATGGACCCTCTTTGGACCCTCGGGCTGTTGCTTCTGCCCCTGCTCCTGATGGGAACAGCCGCTCAGGATCCCCTAGGTATCGCCCCATCCAGGACCCCCTCATCCCTCTGGCTTCCTCCAGGCCCAGCTGCCGTGGCAAGGGTGCCCCCCACCGGCTCGCTCCCCTACTTTGCCCAGGTCCCAGCCGCCCCGGTTTGTACTTTCTCTCTCCGTGGAGGCCCCTCTGCGCCCGGGAAACCTCTCCTCCCGGGGAAAGTGGCTGATCTTCCCTGTCCCTCCCGTAGGAAACAACGCGGAGATCTGCCTCCTGCCCCCGGAGGTGGGGCCCTGCCGCGCCCGGATCCCCAATTTTTACTACAGCAGGTACACTCAGAGCTGCCGCCAGTTCATGTACGGGGGCTGCGAGGGCAACGCCAACAACTTCGAAACCCGGGAGGCCTGCGAGGAAGCTTGCTGGCGGATAGAGAGTAAGTTGCGGCAGGCGCAGCCAGCAGGAGCAGCGAGCTCTCCAGGTCCCATTGTCTGAAGGTTAGCCCGAACGCTCTCCAAGACTGAGCAGGGCTCGCTGCTTTGAAGTCATCACAAGTTTGCGACGCGCTGTCTGTCTCCTCATTGGTATGGATCATAATTCCGTGCCTGCGCAGACTCAGGGCAAGATGCCACCTTAGGGCAAAATAATGCCAGGGTGCAATGTATGAGGTGCAGACTGCGTGCTTTTCTGGATTTGTCATTAGTTATACGCCTATAGTTTCTACGCCTCCTTGAGAACACCATTTCCTCCTGTCAATTACCCATCGATCTGAAATACATTTAGTGGGTTTTATTATTTAATTGTGATTTAGCTAATGATAACCTTGCTTTTGTCTCCTCATAGCCAAACATGTCTGTGTGAGCATAAAAGGATATAGTGGAGGTTTGAGATACTGTTTCCTATTTTGATTATGTTTATTCTTCCTGTGAAGGCCTGTTAACAACAGAACATGGGGCTTTGCCGTTCAATGAACGGAGCCAGGGGAAGTGCATATTCCTGTGGATAACTTATTTAACTTCGTGTGTTCTCTGAGAGAACGGTCTTCCTACTGAATTGGGAAGATCACAGCTCAGTCAGGTCTGGAGACACTTAGGTTAAAAAAACAAAAAAGCTAAATAACTGCTTCCTAGAATGGATAGCCTTTGGGGGATTTACTATCCCAGCACTAAATATGATGTCATTCCCCCACCCAGTTGTTTCTGAAAATAGAGTAAAATTTGGAAAGTAATACTGAGAAGGCTAATTTTTGAACTGCTTTTTGTCCTCCTTTTCCTAGAAGTTCCCAAAATCTGCCGTTTGGAAGTCAGTGAGGGGCATTGTGGGGAGTCCCGAGGAGACTACTTCTTCAATCTGAGTTCCATGACATGTGAAAAATTCACGTCTGGTGGGTGCCACCGAAGTGGGAACCAGTTCCCGGATGAAGCTACTTGCAGGGACTTCTGTGTACCAAGGAAACGTAAATAATATTTTTATGATGTTTCTATTTCATTTCTTTATTAAGACATTAGGGTGAAAAACTCAATTCAATGTGAAATTCACATGGTTTGCGTTGTGGCAATTTCATATATAATATGATATCAGTCTTCACACTATTGCCCTCTGAGGAAGTATTATTGCCATTTTACCTATAAGAGTACAAGCTGGGAGAAGTTAATAACTTGCCACATTCTCAGGCCTGCAAAGCAACAAAGCCATGATTCAAGTTTGTGCTTCCTCCTCTGCATTGTTTCTTTAAAACTATTTCTCATCTCTTTGATTTACACATAAAATTACAGTAAGTATTCATTAATGCATGCCATGACCTCAGGTTTGTATGGACTCAATTGTATGCACAAAATAGTTGAATGTATACAGACTTAAGATGGTGAAACTTGAAAATTTCTTTCTAAAGTTTTTGGTTACATTTCTGTATCTTTTAGAAATTGCAAATTGTGGAGCATAAAGAGATCTCTATCCCTCTTTTCTCTCCTCCCCATTTCTTATCTACAGTCCCCTACGCCCACACACAGTCCCTTAAATAATGGGTTACTCTGGCAGCATTTAATATTTGTAGAGAGAGACAATACAGGCATTTTCCTGAGGCACAACAGAGATACATACACGTTGATAAATAAATTCAACCACGGAAAATTTGCGTTGGCAGAGACTTTGATAAATCTCTATAGTTATAATACTGTGTTGAATATGCAAACTCTTGAATTAATGAGGAGATGGTTGTTGCTGATGTTTTCTTAAATTGTTTGTGTAAATGTAAATGTTCTAGTGGCTACCTGGGAATTAGATACATGTATTCATGATTAATAATGGAAGGAGAACTGATAAACACATTGAAAATAAAACTACCAACACAAGAAAGTTTACAAAACATGTCATATATTATCATTTGAAATGCATCCCATTTTTACCTGATCATATCTATTTTTGGGGTTTCATTGCTTTACACAATCAAATGATATAAGGACATAGCTTCAGAAGAAATTCTGTTCAGTTTATCAAAAGATAGAATTAACAAAATACACCATGTAAAGCTTTCTTAAATTCTGAGGCACACTTTTTAAATGATTTAAAATGGTACTTTGGATTCAGCATGAAGCTTCCATGGGATTATATTTTCTCCAGTGACTTTAGTAACCACCACAGCTTATTAATTCCGGTTATCACTGTATTTCTAATTTCATTGTCTTTTGCATAAAGGTCCGTCATATTGCTACAGTCCGAGAGATGAGGGACTATGCTCTGCTAACGTGACTCGCTATCATTTTAATCCAAGACACAATGCCTGCCAGGCCTTCACCTATACTGGCTGTGGAGGGAATGACAATAACTTTGTTAGCATGAAGGACTGCAAACGTGTTTGCATGAAAGGTAGTGAATTTTTCTTATTCAGTTTTTAAACCAACTTTATAAATAACTCATAAGCAAAATTATGTTTTATGTATTTATTTTACTAATAGCATATTGCCATTTCCAGACTACTTCTACATAAATGGCACGTTAGTACTGACCGGTTTTGTGAAAATGCTTATTCTGGCTAGCTAAGAATGTGTTTTAAAGTTATAATGCTATTAACTGAGTGGACAGTACTACTGACTTTGTAATCACTAAAAATAAGATGAGGTCGGTTTGTAAACATATTGGAAATGGTGGTTTATAGTGATTTTTATTTTGTTGACTTTAGCCTTGAGGAAGAAAATAAGTAAGAAGATGCCAAGGTTTTTCTTTCCTGATAGAAGACGGAAACTTCAGAAGAAGTTATATTAACTGTTGTTTTTTTAATGTCATCTGATGAATGCAATTATTGCCTTATATCTGAAGAATAATATGGTAACACGAGTAAATGAATAATTAGTGATTTATTTACCAGTTTTTATTGATCAAAGTTACTTTTTAAAAACTTTGTTCACTTTTATACATAACTAGCTGCTACTCAAATGTGAAACTGTTATTTTTATATTTACCATATAACCATTTTTTATGAGGTTGAAGTCTTGCTCTGCATAAGAAAGCAAATATGACTCACCCAGTTTTGGAGGTTGCTTTTTTGATATTAGATGATGACTGCGACTGAAAAACAAAGACAACATAATCATGTTCTTTTAATTCATATGAACATAAGAAGGACCAGTAAATACATTTTCTTTTACATTTAAAAGTTGGATTATATTTTAGGTCCCAGGTGACAAACTTGCATATTTACCTATAGCTTAAAAAATATTACAAGTGCTATTATTTAGACACTGCTAACTTACTTCCATTTCTGTGGTGTCATTTACAAAATAATAAAATAAATTTTTGACTGAATTAAAGAGCTTGTAAATTTATTAAAATCAGAAATATTCTCAAGGGAAAAAAATTCTCTCTTTGTCTCCCTTTATCTATCTATGCATCCATCTATCCATCCATCCCCACTTGCAGGTTTGTGTTTGTGTATACATATTGATAGATGGCTTTTAATAGTTTTCCTGTTATTACATTATTTCCTAAGACTTAATGGATTGGAGACCACTGCAGTTAAAATTGTTTGACTGTTCAAGGCATTTATTTACATTACACCAGAGACTATGCATGAATTTAATAATTTAAATTCCCACTAATAAATTATTTTTGATAAATCTGATCATTCCAGTTAAACAGTTTTCTCTTTCTCAATAATAAATAGATTTTTTTAGTTCCTACATTTTCTTGGCAATATTAATATGTTTGAAAGTATGCACTTGATGTAGCAAAATTATAAATGCATTTGCCCTTTGTTTAAGCAATCCCTCTTTTGAAAATCAATTCCAGCCCTGGCCAGTGTTCTGAGTGGTTAGAGCATTGGCCTTTGCACTGAAGGGTCACAGGTTAGATCCTGGTCAAGGGCACAATGTATCTGGGTTGCAGGTTGATCCCTGACTCTAGTCAGGGCCCTTGCAGGAGGCAACCAATCAATGTGTCTGTCTCACATCCATATTTCTCTCTTCCTTTCTATCTCTCACATCCCTCCCTCCACTCTCTCTCTTTAAAAAAAAAATGGAAAAAATATCCTCAAGTAAGGATTAACAACAACAACACAATCTATCCTAAAGGTATTATGACAAAAATATAAAATGGTATCTGCCTGAGGACATTCATTAATGCATTTTTTGGGGATAACTGAAAACTGGAAACAAACCAGATGCTTATAAAACAGGGGAATGGTTGAAGAAATGATGGATGAGAAATGAGCAAAATATCTATATAGATATCATTTGATCCTCAGAATACATTAAGAAAAACAGGGTTTAGGACAGGATGTATAAACACACACAAATCACAGAAGATATAAAGATAAAAAAGTGGTTGCCTCTGGGGGAGGGAGGAAACAGGATTAGATAGGTAAGGAGATAAAATGTGTGTGAATAGCCCTGGCTGGTCTGGCTCAATGGAATGAGCATTGCCCCATGGACTGAAGGGTCCCAGGTTAGATTCCAGTCAAGGGCACGTACCTTGGGAGGAAGATTCAGCGACGGCCCTGATCCGGAGGCACAGTCGAATGTGGATGAGCAGGGCATGGCTGCATCCATCTCAGAGATGTCTTCCTCTTTCTTTGTCACTGTCTCCACTTCACAGAGGTCTTCCACTTTCATTGTCTCAGAGACGATCTCACAGATGTCTTTCTTCTTCTTTGTCACTGTCTCCACTTCACAGAGGTCTTCCACCTTCATTGTCTCAGAGACGATCTCACAGATGTTTTCCTCCTTCTTTGTCACTGTCTCCACCTCACAGAGATCTTCCACTTTCATTGTCTCTGTCTCCATCTCACAGAGATCTTCCACTTTCATTGTCTCAGAGACGATCTCACCGATGTCTTTCTTCTTCTTTGTCACTGTCTCCACCTCACAGAGATCTTCCACTTTCATTGTCTCTGTCTCCATCTCACAGAGATCTTCCACTTTCATCTCTGTCTCCATCTCACAGATGCTTTTCTCTTTCTTTGTATCCATGTCCGTCTCACAGATGTTTCTCCCACTCTCTAAAAATCAATGGAGAAATATCCTTGGGTGAGGATTAACAACAACAAGAACAAAATGTATGTGAATGTACATAGCTATATAGTTTTGATCATAGACCAATAAATGTTTTACATAATTAAAACCACAAATTAAAATAAAAAAGAATAAAAGGCATTCCCTCTAAAATTGGAAACAAACCAGTTAATGAACCCAAATGAACACCAAATAGTAGTATAATGACACAAAGGATATATAATTCTTTTCAGTGACTTTTAAACCCAGTATTTTGATTATATATCTTTTGGGGAATACACTCTTAAGGTTCAAGTAAATTCTGAAGAAATTTGAAAATGCATTTAGCAAACTTATCATTATTAGTAATATTGATATTGTTATTTTGAAGCTATTGTATATAGAATACTATGCTATACTATATTTTCTGTTAAAAAATGTATTTACATTTATTTAGAAGTCACAATTTTCAGTGTTAAGAGAAAAAGAGATATAAGTATAAAATTAAGAAATTAAGGGAAAAACCATCAACTTTTAAATTGAAATTACAAATATTAGTATGAATTCAAATTTTTCCCCCCAAAAAATGTTTTTCCACTCTTCCATTGAAAAGTCCTTGAAGGAATGACAGCCCAGCAGCAGTAAATGCACCTACTATCCAGCTTGTGGTCTCTAAATATCATTTTTCACTAAAAGGAAGTAGGGCCAGGGCTCTAGGAGAACCTGCTGAGTCCAGGTCTGGAACGGAGAATAATATGTAAGGTGAATCTGGGCAACCTTATTCCAGAAAGCAAGGGAGCTACCAAGGACTACTAAATCATGTCACACACATACAGAAAAAAAACAAACAACAGGAGAGTAACTAAAATGCGACAATCTGAGCATCAAAACAAATAGCCACCACAACATATAAGTATTTAAATATGAATATAAAATTAGTTCATAATTACACACACACTTCCTTGGTCATTTTTGGAGATTTCTAGGACATTCTCATTACATTGAAAAATGATGAACAGAAAAAATAAAGCATTTATCCTTCTATTTTTTTTATCCTTTAAAAGCTGTACCAAAAGGAAACTATATAGTGTATGAAAGAATGTTACTCATAAAAGAATCTATAATACATGTATTAAAGTGTTATAATATACCCCCAATGAAAGTATGCATCTAGGCAACAATCATCCATGAATGTGGAAAGCATGGCTGGCAGGTTGATGAAGAACAATATTATGGAGGAATCAGAAGAATGCCTCTGAACCCTAAGTAATTATAACATCACTGATCGTGTGCCAACAGACAGTATTGGCTACCTAATGTGAGGTAATATGAAGTGCACACCCCTTCCCATGAAATAATCCTATAGAAAGAGATAAAAAAACAACTGAACCTGAAGTTAAGCTTCTAGATCTTACTATCATATTGTCCGATTATAGGGGACTATTGGGAATAAAGGAGCAAGTTAGAAGAAACCACAAAAAGTCCATCAGCCAAGTTCATAATGTTGGACACTCTATAGGACAAAGAGCTCAGTTTCTCTAACAAACCAATGAAATTTTAAAGAGGAGGAGGAGGAGGAGGCAGTGCTTTTAGAGATAAAAGCAGATGCCATTAAAGGAATTTTAGTTGAATTATGACTGTTTTTGGTGGTTTTTGAAAATGATCATGGCAGAAGGGTCTTGTGTGTGCTCTGGGGTTGTCGGATGAGTGATACAGAGCCTTTGGGATTTGGGGGGTTCCCAGTGATACAGAGAAGCTTGATTGATACCTGCTTCCTAGAATCTCCCTGTACTCAAAGCCCTCCGCTGCAGCTCTCAGTTCAGCATGGGTAGAAAGGAGATGCTTTTGATACAACTATTCTAATACCCCAAACCTCTGCCATTTTATTTTAATGAAGATTATTTCATAAAGCTGTTGTAGGATGTTCTGCCATCAAAGGGAAATGCCTTTTTGCCACCATCAGCTTGGAGACAAGTCATTATTGTGGTTGCATCAGACAGCTTGATTAAAAGGAATGTCTCATTCACCAAAAGACAAAAAAGGAACAAGGTAGCTTTAAATAACACAGTCTTTTATTGAAAAAAAAATTACTCTGGACTACCACTCATGCCTCCTTTATGCACACACATTGTCACATGTTCAACCATAGACTCTGCAATGGAGCCTTCAAGATTGCCTGGCTCACATACCTCCAAGAATAGATGCTATCTCCCCCAGCAGTCTCGTGGACCTTTAGCTAACAATGTTCCCAGTGAGGGGGATGTCTTCAGGGAGTGTACCACAAAAATCAACACCAGGATGTCTATTAGTCCTTCTTTGGGCTTCTTAGGAACTTATGGACTCCATCTAAGTAGCAGGAACTTGTCTTTACAAGTTTCATGTTTCTAGTAAAATATAGGTTTTGTGATATATATAAGGAAAAGTGCAGAGTTGTAGCTTTAAAATATTATTTGTCTATATATTCTGTTATAAACTTAGTGATGGAGGCAAGCAAATGTGGGAATCAGATTCATCCAAAATTATTTCCTCTCCCTTCATTCACCAGTTCAATTAGCTGCCAAGTGTATCAATTCAAGGCTATTTTAATCTTATTTTAGGAAAATTATTCTCCCAAGTTTCCTTCCTATGTTTGCTCTATATCCAACCATACACACTGATGCCAGGGTAATAATTCTGAAAAAAATTTTTATGTGGTTATTCCTCTGTTTAAAACACTTTAGTGGCTTCCTATTGCATCTTCATGTTCCTGTCTAAGCCCTTAGTGTGTCATTTAGGACTTCTTACAAGTAGATCATGACATTCTTCTCTGGATTGATCTGTCTCATTTCACTGTCACCTGTAACCTACAATTCGGTTACACTAAATTATGTTTAGTTTCCAAAGCATGTTATACCACCTGATTGTTCAAATTATGTGCCTGAGAACCATCTGGGGAGCCAGGGACATTGCAGCTCCTATTGCCCCATGCCCACAGGTTTGATTTAGTCGGTTTGAGTTGGTACTCAAATATGTACATTAGGAACAATGGCTACAGATGATTAGGATGGACGCTAGCATCGCACTTTGAGGACAACTGTTTTATGCCTTAGCATAAGGTATTTGTTGCCTTTTTTTTGTCTGAATCACTACCACCCTAAACAATGACTTCCCATGATTGCCACCTCTGGTCCTACAACTTCCATGTCTCTTCTCCATCCCAATTCCCCCCAGTAGGCTTCGATGCAGTTGGGGTAAAACCCTCTTTTTCTTAGGGTAACATTATAGTTCACCAATTGTAGGATCCCAATACACACTCCTGTTTTTTGGATAGTCTTCACATTATTTCCTCAGTTACATGTAAATTGAAATGTATGTGTTTCTTTTCTTTTAGTTTTGCCCAAGATGCAAGTATGGGTAGTTTTATTCTAGCTCATTATTCTGTGCAGTCTTTGGAGTGTATGTGAAGAGATTACTATTTAAGTATCCAAATTACCTAAATTTGAAATCCCAAACGTTACGTTAAAATAATATTTTAAGTTTTAAAAACCATAGATCAAATTTTCTTTTAACTTTGATTTTATATTCGTATTTCTTAATGCATGCAGAATAAAAATTATATGTTGACACTACCTTCAGAGCCTACGCTCCTTAACCCAACGATGCATTTTTAACCTATGTTACCTAGTTCTTGATGCAAATAGAATCTTTAGCAAAGACAAAAATTGCTAGAGTTTTGTAGTTGAGTCTAGCCGTTCCCCGTGAAACTAAAATAGAGTTTAATTTTTTTGCTTAGACGATTCTTTTGATATTGGATACTGAAGAGGTCTATCCACTGTTCTTAGCCATCATCTCCTGGAAAATTTTCGTCTGAATTACAGCACTATAACTCTCATGACAAGTTGATATTCTACATTCTGTTTTAAAGTAGGATCCCACTACACACTCCTGTTTTTTGGATAATTTTCACATTATTTCCTCAGTTACATGTTAATCATTTTTGATAACTTTTACTTGTAAAATACATTTTTTTCACACAGAGGATGTGGCTATAAATTTTAAGAATATATTCTCAGTGTTTTATTTTTTTAAATAAAAACATCATTTTTATTGACAAGTTATATAGCACATCGGACTTCACAGACCAACAGAAATAAGACAGTCTCAAGACACTGCAAACAGATTAATTCTCTTCATCCTCATCCTCTCCCTCAGCACTATCAGCTCCAACTTCCTCATAATCCTTCTCAAGGGCAGCCATGTCCTCACGGGCCTCACAAAACTCTCCTTCCTCCATGCCCTCACCCACGTACCAGTGGACAAAGGCACGCTTGGCATACATCAGGTCAAACTTGTGGTCCAGGCGAGCCCAGGCCTCAGCAACAGCTGTAGTGTTGCTCAGCATACACACAGCTCGCTGTACTCTGGCCAGGTCTCCACCAGGTACCACAGTGGGAGGCTGGTAATTAATGCCAACTTTGAAGCCAGTGGGGCACCAGTCCACAAACTGGATGGTACGTTTGGTCTTGATGGTGGCAATGGCAGCATTGATATCTTTGGGGACCACGTCACCACGGTAAAATAGGCAGCAAGCCATGTATTTACCATAGCGAGGGTTACATTTCAACATCTGGTTAGCTGGCTCAAAACACGCATGGGTGAGCTCTGCTACAGTTAGCTGTTCATGGTAGGCTTTCTCAGCAGAGATGACAGGGGCATATGTAGCCAGAGGGAAGTGGATGCGTGGGTAGGGCACCAGGTTGGTCTGGAATTCAATCAGATCGACATTCAGGGCTCCATCAAACCTGAGAGAAGCAGTGATGGAGGACACAATCTGGCTAATAAGGCGGTTAAGGTTGGTGTAGGTTGGGTGCTCAATATTGAGATTTCTAAGACAGATGTCGTAGATAGCCTCATTGTCAACCATGAAAACACAGTCAGAGTGCTCCAGGGTGGCATGGGTGGTGAAGATGGAGTTGTAGGGCTCAACTACAGCTGTGGAAACCTGGGGGGCTGGATAAATGGAGAACTG